CACCACGCCCGGCCTTTTTTTATTTTTTAATTATTTTATTATTTTTATTTTATGTGTATGCATGTATTGCCTGCATGTAAGTGCACCCATGTTATACAATGCCCACAGAGGCCAGAAGAGGGTGGCCAATCCCCTGGAACTGGAGTAACAAACAGTTGTTAGTCGCCATGGGGGTGCTGGGAATTGAACCTGGGTCCACTGCAATAGTAGCCAGAGCTCTTAACCACTGAGCCATCCCTCAGCCCACCTAAGTCATGTTTGAAGATTTATTTTACTATTTTTAATTTTGTGTGTGTGTCTCTATGTTTGCATCTAATGGACATGAGGTATCCTCAGAAGCCTTAGATTCCCCTGGAGCTGGAGTTATAGGCAGTTGTGAGCCACCTGGGATGGGGTTGAGAACCAATCTTGGGTCCTCTGGAGGAGCAGGATGTGCTCTTAACCACTAAGCCATCTCTCCAGTCACCCCTAGGTTTTTTTTTTTTTTTTTTTTTAAGCATCCTTTTCCCTTTTGTCTGTTTTTACTTTTTATTAGTTTGTTTCAAACAGGATGTCACACTGGAACCCAAGCTGGCCAGGAACTTGTGGTGATCCTTTGGCCTCCATCTTCCACGATTTGGGATTAAGGGCTTGTACCCCCACACCCAGCTCAGAGTATCCTTTTAGAAAAATATACTCCTGGAGCTGGAGAGATGGCTCAGCAGTTAAGAGCACTGGCTGCTCTTGCAAAGGACCCAGGTTTGAGTCTCAGCACCCACAGAGCAGCTAACAACTGTCTGCAACTCCAGTTCCAGGGGATCTGATGCCCTCTTCTGGTCTCCGGCATTGCACAATATAGGTGCACTTAGCCACATGCAGTCAATACACTCATACACATAAAAAAATTTCTTTCAAACAAAAATATACTCTTGGCAGTAGCAATCAGAAGCATAAAGTTCTCCAGCACTCTGGAGGTAGAGGCAGGGAAACAAGTTCAAAGTCAGTCTGGGTCATACAGGGAGTTCTAGACCAATCTAGGCTACCTACAGGACACACTGTCTTGAAAGAAAGGTGGGGAGGAGGAGAGGGAGGGAGAAAAGAGGAGGTAGGGAGGGAAGGGAAGTCTAAAAGATAGCAATGTTGGTAGGAAAGCGCATGATTAGAAGGAACAGCTCCTATCAGGCCAGCCTGGGAGACAAGGAATGTGAGAGAAAGAGAGACAGACAGACAGACAGAGAAAGAAAGAGAGAGACAGAGAAAATAGTGTCTTAGTCTATTCCCACTGCTATAACAAAATGTCATAGCTATGTAACTTATAATAGAAATTTATTCCTCACAGTTCTGCAGCCTCTGATCAAGGCACTAGCAGATTTGGTTGGTTGATAAGGGCTCCTTCTCTGCATCGAAGAAAATACATTGTTGCTGTGTCCTCCAGAGTGGACAAATGCTGTGTTCTCATAAGATAAAAGAACTGAAATGCCAGGCAACTATTTGCTGCCTGTTTTATAAGGGCACTGATCTCATTTGCAAGGTGGTTTGAATGGCTGTATCTCTTCTAAACTTCATATTGAAACCTAACCCCTGATGCAACAGATTTAAAAGGTGGTACCTTCAGGAAGTGTGTTTAGTGAGCTTCACACAACTATAATGAAACTTGAGACAAACAAAAGGAAAATTTGTTTTAGTTCAGTTTCAGAGGTTTCAATGACCCGTCACTTTAGGCCACTGGTGAACACAGATCATGGTTGGAAGCCTATGGTGGAACAGAGTAACTTTCCTCACGGCAGCCAGGAAACAAAGAGAAAGAGAAGGCTCCAGGGACAAGATATGTCCCAAGGGCACCCCTACAAGGACCCACTCCCTTCAAAGGTCCCACTTCTTAGGCTTCTATCATCTTCCAATAGTCTGTCAAAATATAAACTCATTGTATCAGTTACTTTCCCCATTGCTGTCATGAAATACCCAATGAAAGTAGCCTAAGGAAGGTCTATCTGGTTCACAGTTGGAGGTTATGGTCCACTCTAGCAAAGAAGGGCAGGACAACAGGAGCAAGCAACAGATTGTCATATCACATCCACAACCAGGAACAGGGAAGGATGAGTGCTGGTGCTCAGCTCACTTTCTCCTTTGTAAACAGTCTAGGACACCCTCCCATGGGGTCCCCATCACTGCCCACATTTCGGGTGGGTCTTCTCACTTCAATTAACGTAGAAACTCCCTTACAGACATGCCCACAGGCTTCTTTCCAACTTGATTCTAGCTCCTGTCAAACTGACAATCAATACGAATCAACACTCCTATTAGTGAATTAATCTCATGGTAAGGTCAGACCTCTCATGATCTAATCACTCCTAGAAGCCCTACTTCCGAACACTGAACTGGGGACCAAGCCTTCCCATATTAATCTTGAGGGACACTTTATATTCAAACTGTAACAGGAAGTGACAAGGTTGTACAGGTTCTGCTGTCATGGATTGATCACTCCTCATAAAGGGCTTGAGGAGGAAAGTCATACTTCCTACCATGTAAAAACACAGCCTTTGTTCACTCCAGAGAATGCAGCCACAAGGCTACATCAGGAACTAGAGAGAGGCCTGCACCATACACCAAATCTGAGGCTATCTTGATTTTGGACCTTCCAACCTCCAGAACTGTGAGAAGTATACTTTTGTTCTTTATTAATTATCGAGTCCCAAGTATCTCATTATAGTAGCACAAAGGGACTGACACACAGCATATGCAGAAGTCCTGAAGAGAAAGCAAGCTTAGAGTGTTCAAAGCTGCAATGAAGGTCTGGAGAGATGGCTTGGTGATTAAGAGAACTTGCTGCTCTTAGAGGGGACCCAGATTTAGTTCCCAGCACCCACATGGCAGCTCACAACTGTAATTACATTTCTAGGGGATCCTCTGCTTGCATTGCATGTACATGGCATACACATCAAATAAAAACAAATAAAAAAAAAATGTTGTACCTGGGGTTGGTGGTGCACACCTTTAATCCCCAGTACCTAGGAAGCAAAGGCAGGCAGATCTCTTTGAGATCAGGGCCAGTCTGGTCTACATAGTAAGTTCCAGGCCAGCTAGGAGCTACAGGACCCTGTCTCAAAAAGACAAAAAAAAGGGGGGGGGCTTAATATGTAAGTTAAAAGCCAGGTGTGGTGGTGCACACCTTTAATCCCAACACTTGGGAGGCAGAGGCAGGCAAATCCCTATGAGTTTGAGGCCAGCCTGATCTACATGAGTTCCAGGCCAGCTGGGGCTACAGGAAGACCTTGTCTCAAAAATACCAAAAATAATAAAATATAAGTTAAAGATGCTATAAGATACCAAAATGAAGGTGTCAAGTACACAGATGTCTGTAGCTTAGAGGAGATACATGTGTACCAGAGGCCCCAGTGGCCTTCCCATTCAAGATAATCTCAAATGAACAGGAAAACTCAGATGCTTTTCCCCCTCAATACATTCGTAATACATTCTAAATTAGAGGTTTCAAAGTTCAAACTATACCTCTCCTTGGAAAATAGTGTAGAGTGCAGGCAAGTTTTCCATGGTGTCAGGCCTTCCTGAATTCATCCTTAAATGTTCTATGGCTCCTCCATTTCTCTTCTGCTACAGCTAATTCAAGTGTCCTGTCACAGAGAAACAAGTAACATAGAGAGACATCTGTATTAAAGACGAATGAAGGTAAGACTCAGTCATTAAAGTACCCACCACAGAAGTCTATGCACCTAAGTTCAGATCCCACACCCACATGAAAGCCAGGCATGATGGCACGTCTATAAACCCAATTCTAGGGCGATAGAGACAAGTGGGTCCACAGAGCTCATTGGCCAATCACTCTCAACAAAGTGATGAGCTCTAGGTTTGGTGAAGAGACCCTGTCTCAAAAAGTAAGGGGAAGGGGCTGGTGAGATGGCTCAGAGGTTAAGAATATGTGTTCCTACAGCGGACTCAAGTTCAGTTCCCAGGACCCAAATCTGGCAGCTAACAGCTACATAAACTCCAGCTTCAGGGGATCTGACACCTCTGGCCTCTGCGGCCACCTACACACACACACACACACACACACACACACACACACACTCTCTCTCTCTCTCTCTCTCTAAAAAAAAGGTATGGTGAAGAATAATCCAAGACACCAACATGGATCTCTGGTCTCCACATGCATGCCCACACAGGCATTAAATCTGAAGAAACTCCAAAAAGAGAAGAGTCCAAGATATCACATTGATAGTCTCTATCATGGCGCCCTTTAATCTTGTATCCTTACAATAAACTTGCTTTTCTGCTTTAGCCAACCAAAGATTGTCTGTCTACCTACCTACTTATTTTTGGCTAGGCATAATGGTATGCACCTTTAATCCCAGCACTTGGGAGGCAGGGGCAGGTGACTCTCTGTGAGCTCCAGGCTAGCCTGGTCTACATAGCAATTTTCAGGTCAGCCAGGGCTACATAGTTAAACCGTCTCAAAAAAAAAAAAAACTTAAAAAAAAATTTTTTATGTCTGTATGCCTGAGTGCATATATGTGCACCACTTGCAGGGGCCAGAAGAGGGCCCCAGATCCCCTGGAGATAGCATTACAAGAAGCTGTAAGACACCCATCGTGGGTGCTAGGAACTGGCACTGAACCTGAACCTGGGTCCTCTGCAAGAACAAGCACTCTTAACCACTGAGCCATCTCTCCACTCTCCAAAGATATATATTTTCATTTAAAAGCATAGAGAGGGGTGGGGGAAATGGCTTAGCCAGTAAAGCACTTGCTACACAAACATGAGGACCTGCATTCCATCCCCAGCACCCAAGTAAAAAATCCAGACACAGCTGTGCATGCTTGTAATCCCAGTGTTGCAGAAGCAGAGATAGGAGGATCCCTGGGGCTGGGTGGTTATCGAGTCTAGCAGAGTCAGTGAGCATCAGGTTCAATGAGAGACACTGCCTCAAAAAATAAAGTGGAAAGCAACTGAAAAAGACACTTGAGGGGTGTGGTGGCACACAGCTTTATTCCCAACACCTGGGAGGCAAAGGCAGGTGGAGCTCTGTGAGTTCAAGGCCAGCCTGGTCTACAGAGTGAGTTTCAGGCCAGCTGAGACTATAGGGAGACCCTGCCTCAAAAAGATTAAAAAAAAAAAAAAAAAAAAGACCTGATATCAATATCTCATCTCCCTACCAGACACATGCACACCTGCACACGCAGACACACACACACACACCACAAATAAAAGTACACAGAAAGAATGGCAGTTGATCTGCAATTCTTAAGAAATGCCTCATAAACAAGTTAATTTCAAGTATTACAGCCTGACTGAATTCTGCCTCTTCTCCTTCCAGCTATGTATTTTCATGTCTAGCCTTTCCCTTCTCCCTGCACAGCATCCCTCACCTCATATGCAGAACGAGTGTTATTAATCAGAATTATATGGTTCTAAGAGACCTTTTAAAAGCCCTGCAACATTTGGAACAGTAAAAGTGAAGTACAGAGCCTGTAACAGCACCTGGGACATCTGAAATGAGCACAAGGGTCTAGTAAATTCCTCTTAGTCCTTACTTCCTCTCCACAGTCATAGAAAGCGCAATACAAGCAGAAAGAAATTCAACTGCTTCTTGCAGAATCTTGCTGTGATAGGAGTATAAAGAGGGACATCTAAAGCTCTCCCGCTTTCTCTGCCTGTGCAACAGAAACTTAAGAAATCCTATTCAGTTTTTTTATTGTTCTTTGTTTTGTTTGCCTGGTTTTTTGTTTGTTTTTTTGCAGTGCTTAAGCGTGAAGCCAAATTATATCCCTAGCCCTTGGTTTGGTAAGACAGAATCTCACTATGTAGTCCAGGCTGGCTTTAAACTCAAAATTGTCCTGTCTCTGCCTCCCACATCCAAGGGCTGGGATTGCAGGCATGAACCACATCTGACGCCCTGTGCAGTTGGGGGTTGGGAGAGGGTGAAACAGGATCTCACTCTAATCTGGCAGGAGCTGGAACTCACAATGTAACCCAGGATAGCCTTGGGTTTCAGAGCAATCCTCCTGCCTCAGTCTCTCAAAGCTGGATTGCAAGTGCGTGCCAGGAGATGACTTGATTCCTCTCAGGCATTCAACACATCACCAAATCCTACCCAGTTACCTCCCAGTCATCCAAAGAATCTGTTTAATTCTCTGCAGTTTCACCATGAACTCAGTCCTTGCTGGCATCTGAACATGTTCCCTGAGTGGTCTATTTCCCTCCAGTAGAGCTCCCCTCATCATTCAATCTGTTCACACCATTAGGCCTGTGGGATCAAGCCATCTCCTCCACCATATCCCACCCCCCAGATGAGGAAAAACTTTCACTGGTTTTCTATAAATTTTAAAGTAAAAGCTACAAACTCCTGCAAAGTCTGACCTCCATGACCTCAAGCTTCATGCGATACCATACGCTCCTTCCTTCTCTCTCAGCACACTGGCTCTTTGTGCCTTTTAGTCCTCTTCCGACTGATAGGGCACCTCTGCGCATGCTGCTCTGTACACAATGTTCTAATTAGAACTGACCCATCAGACAGCCAGGCATCCTGTCCTCTGAAAGGCCTTCCTGCCTACAGTTACTCAAAGCATATGGTTCTCTCTCTCTAGGTAGTCTTCCAATCAGCTACGGAGATAGTATGTTTCACTCACATCCTAAAAGACACTAACGCCCTGAGATCAGGGCCCATGTTTCTTCAATGTGCGCCCCCGCACCCCCCGCAACGCTATGCACAATAAATTACATCGACCACTTAGGAAACAGTCTGGTTCAGAGGCATGAATCTTAACATTGTGCTCTGGAGGAGCCGTCGGGGCATGTCCTCCATCACTGGCTCTCTCAGTGGGTATAATAAATTAAGCACTAATAAAAGACCAGTGACAGAAACTAGTCGGCCTCTTCCAAACCGGGCACTGAGGGAGGCCAGGAGAAAGCCTTTTCCGAGGACACCAGCACAGCGCTGGACAAAGGGGGCGGCGTTGAAGAGGGCAGCTGTCAAGGGCTGGTCCGAGACCCCAAAGCTTTGTCCTGCCCGCCCAGGAACTACTCACCAGAGCGCTGAATTCAGGGAACCCTCTCCCACCCCACCGCCGCTGTCGGAGCCTCCCAAGAGAACGACAGGCTCAGGCCTACCACCCAGGCGCAGCCTCCAGATTCCAGCATCCACCCACCCCAGCTCCCTCACACTCACTCCGCGCAGGCTCCCAGTCGCGGGGCCGCAGCATCTCCCGGAACGCCGAGCCCTATCCGCGCGTTCCCACCCACAAGGCACAGCGTGCCTAGGAGGGCCGGCAGCCCCGCGCGCCAATCCCGGAGTCGCGCCCTGCTGACGTTAAAGGAAACAACCAATCGCAAGAGCGCAGCCAGAAAGCGGTGCCGAGGTGAATGCTGGAACTCTATTGGTCACTCAGCGCCGCCGGAAGTTCTGGAGGAATGACCCAGGCGGAGCCAATCGCGCGGCGTCTGAGGCCAGCCGCGCGGTTTGTGGCGGCGCTGAAGAGAGAGGCTGCCGCCATGATAGAGCAGCAGAAGCGTAAGGGCCCCGAACTGCCACTGGTTCCCGTAAAGCGGCCGCGCCATGAGTTGCTGTTGGGAGCGGCGGGGTCGGGCCCCGGAGCTGGGCAGCAGCAGGCGACGCCGGGAGCTTTGCTGCAGGCGGTAAGTGGACAGGCAGCCGGCCCTCGGAGCTGTACCGATGATCCGGTGCTGCGGGGACCGGAAGAGTGCACCTGACGTTCAAGAGACCTCTGTGAAAGTGTGTTATCCTGCGTATGTTCACGCACGTCTCCCTCCCTGCCTGACACTTGTCTTCAGCCTTTCCGTCGCCCCGCGAGCTGGCATTACTATCAGTTAAAGTCTAGGGCTCAAAATCAAGACCCGAGTTTCTGCATCCCCAATCTTCCAGACATCCAGCATTAAAAAAAATGTTCAGAAGAGATTGTAGGATGGATGGATGGATGGATGGATGGATGGATGGATAAATCAGTAAATAAGGGAGAGAGGGAAAGCACGAAGGGAAATGAATGATACTGCCTCGTTTTGCCAACTTGGACAGTTTCCTCTTTCTCTGCACTAATATTATTAAACGGTAATTAACATGGACTGGCTCTTGTGTTGTTTCGCTTGTGAAATCGCCATTAATCTCGATAATAGCATAAGAGAAATTGTTATTTTGCAGATGGGAAAGCAAACTCTTATTTAGAAAGATTTTAAATCAGAATTCATGCCCCTTCACTACATGTCTTGTAAAATAGATATAGTAGGGGCTGGAGAGATGGCTCACCGGTTAAGAGCACTGACCGCTCTTGCAGAGGACCTGGGTTCAATTCACTTAACTCCAGTTCCAGGGGAATCCGAAGCCACCTCTGACCTCCGCGGCACTGCACTACACGGGTGCACTCACATACATGCAGGCAATACACTCATACACATAAAATAAAAATAATAAAATATTTTTTAAAAAATAGGGATAGTAATCACACCTCTCCTACTGTGATAATTAGGTTCAGATGAGGAAATTTGTGCCCCCTGCCTCAACGCGGTCATCTCTCAGCAAATCCTCCTGGCATGGTCCTTAAAACAAATAAAGTAGGCAAATGAAGTGGGGTTGTAGTTCCAGGTATCTGGAGACTGGCAAGAGGATTTCCTGAGGAGAGAATTTAGAGGCCAGCCTACACAACATGGCAAGGTCCTGTTTCAGGAGGGTAAAAAATGGCAGAACACATACACAATTCCATCACTGAGGAGGCTGAGGCAGGAGGATCAAGAGTTCCAAGCTAGCCTAGACTATTATAGCAAAAGCCTGTCTCAGAGAAAGAGAAATATATCTACATAACATCTAGAATTTCCATTTCTTGCCTCAGTCCATACCTCCTAGTCTAAGGCATTTTTATGTCATCTGGCATCCTTGTAGAAGGAGCCTCCCTGGTATTCCTGCTTTGTCCTTGAATCAAGGATCAGCTATCAATCTAGTAGCCAGGGGAATCCTTCTAATCATTAAATCACATTATTCTCCGCTGAAAATTTTGTGTTTTATTCATTTAGAATTTGTGTTTATTTCATTTAGAGTAAAAACAATCCAATTCCCTGTAATTTCTCCCCATTTTACCTCTTAAGTCACCTGCCTGTCAAATTTCACTCGCTTTTTCTTGTCACCAGGTCTTTTAGTTTTTTGTTGCATTTGCTGGAATGGTCTTTCAAATGTCCAATGGTTACCCACTCAGCTCCTTCAAATCTTTGTTCAGGTACCACTTTTTCAGTGGGACTTTCCTGATTGCTCTGTTTTAACTTGTAGCATTACAGCATGTGATACTCTCTGAAACCTGTATTGCTATTTTTTTTCCCCATGGCCTACAACACTATGTACTGTTTTTTTCTTTCTCTTGCCCTCTTTCCCACTAGAATGCAAGTTTCATTGTTTGTTTTATTCAGTGCTGTTTCTCTAGTGCCTAGAACAGTACATGGCGTGTAATATTTTTTTAAACAAATATACTGCATGAATATGTCAAAATGAAACCCATTACATTGTACCCTTAATATGTACTTTGTTTTATTTTTGTTTTTTGAGATCTGTAGCTATAGCTGGCCTGAAACTCATTATGTAGACCAGGCCAGCCTCAATCTCAGAGAGATCCACCTTCCTCTGCCTCCCAAGCACTAGGATTAAAGATATGTACCACCATGCCCTGCAGTGTGTGCTAATAAAAGTAAAACAAATTAAATATGCTGGAAACTCCTAAAGAGATTTCAGGATTATGGGTAGTATACTTGTTTTTATTTGACAAGTAAATCTGTCAGCCCAGAATTGGGTAAATTGCCAAGCCTTCGTGCCCAAGAACATAATCGAAACTGCTTTGTCAAGCTTGGTATACTGAGTGATATACACTTGTAACTCCCAACACTCAGGAGAGTTCAAGGGCAACCTGAGCTATTTAACAAGACTATAACAGTCCCCCCCTCCCCAATCCATTTTGCCTAAAAATACTGTACTATGCAGGGTTGTTTGGAAGGCCAATTGAGTGAACTAGAGACTAGGAAAAATGATGAATGACTAGGAGTGTTCCTGCAGCCACAGAGCTTCGTTTCTTTGGGGTAAATGAAATATATATACAAATACATGAGGAAGGTAATTGCAGGTAGTGATGGTGGCTTTGACAATACAGTGGAGTTAATGAAATACTGTGGAGGGATGGCACACTACTTTAGTGTTAAAAAAGACTTTCTGGAGAGGAAATACTTAAAAGGAGCCAAATACAAGGGAAAGGACTCTTAGACACTTTATGTGTGAAGATCCTGAGGAGGAAGTAAGCTTAATATGATTAAGCAATCAGAAGTTGACTGTGAGATATCTCTAACGCAATTATTTTGCTTTGTCTTTTCTTTCTACTCCCCATCCCTCTACCCCCCCATCCCCCCATTTTACAGCTTCCTTTGCCTCTTTTGTTTAGGGACCTCCAAGATGTTCTTCCCTTCAAGCCCCAATCATGTTGCTCTCAGGACATGAAGGAGAAGTGTACTGCTGCAAGTTTCACCCCAGTGGATCCACCTTAGCATCTGCAGGATTTGACCGACTGATACGTAAGGCATAGGTTTTGAATCTGGAGTTTCTACCCTCTGCCAAATAAAGTTTTTGTTGTTTTGTTTTAATCTTTGGTGCCACAGAAGGTATCAGTCTGAATTTGTAAGTTAAATTACATGGATAACATGATAAAAATCAGGGTTTAAAATGCTGACTAATCACTTGAATGTAGAACTTTGGGTCTGTACTATATGGTAAATAAGGAGGGAACCATTTTTACTAAGTACAAAGTAGGTTGAAGCCGGGCGTGGTGGCGCACACCTGTAGTCCCAGCACTTGGGAGGTAGAGGCAGGCGGATCTCTGTGAGTTCAAGGCCAGCCTGGTCTACAAAGTGAGTTCCAGGACAGCTGGGACCACAGGGAGACCCTGCTTCAAAAAGACCAAAAAAAAAAAAGAAAGAAAAGAAAAAGAAAGTAGGTTGCTTTATAAAGACAAATCTTGAGCTGACTTAACAAGAGAAGCAGTTTAGCTTCAATAGGTTAATGAGAGTTTGGGGAAAAAGAAAACTACTATTTATATGACCTTCATGGACCAGGTGTTGGGGTGGCACATGCCTTTTTAATACCAGCACTCAGGAGGCAAGAGGCAGAGGCAGGTGGATCTCTCTGAGTTCAAGGCCAGCCAGGGATACATAACATAATAAGTCCCTGTCTTTTAAAAAAAAAAAGATATGAGGCCTTCTTAATCTACACCCAGGATCCTAGTATATGAAGAGGGATGATGGGATACAAATTGATAGTTTACTTAAGTAATTTGCTGCCAAATTATCAGCTTTCAGGAATACCTGTATTTGAAAAATAAATGGGGGCTAGAGAGACAATCAATGGTTAAGAGAACTTGTTCTTACAGAAGACCTCATTTCAGTTCCCAGCACCCATGTCAGGCAGCTCACAATTACCTGTAACTCCAGTTCCAGAAGGTCCAATGCCCTCTGCCCTCTTCTGGTTCTTCAGGCACATATATGCACATACATACAAAGACATAAATAATAAATCTTTTTTGAGAAAGAAAAGAAAAATAAGTAGAAAATGAAAGTTAGGCTATGCATCCAGTGGTCCATCATTTTCCACTCTGCTCACAGACTTGGCATACAAGAAAAAAGTACCTACTTTTTAAAAATTAAGTGATAAAATAGCCCAGTCAGAAAAACATGAGTTAAATCCTCAGAACCCACATAAAAGGCCAGGTAGGTTGGTGTGTGCTTGTAATCTCTGCTCTGGGGAGGCAAAAAGATGGGTTGATAGGGCCCACTGGCTGGCCTACCTAGATTACTTGGCAAGTTCACACAAGTGAGAGACCCTATTTCAAAAAAGTTGACAGCCAGGCATGGTTAATCCCAGCACTCAGGAAGCTGAAGCAATTGGATCTCTTTGAGTTCAAAGCCAGCCTAGTCTACATAACAAGTTCCAGGTCAGCTGGGGCTACATAATGAGACTTCATCTCAAAAAAAAGAGAACATGGAGAGGTGACTCAGCGGTTAAGAGCACTGGTTGCTCTTCCAGAGGACCTGGGTTCAATTCCCAGCACCCACATGGCAGCTAACAACCATCTATAACTCCAGGGGATCCAGTGCCACCTTCTGGCCTCTATGGGCTTTGCATGGCACAGGTGTGCTTACATACATGCAGGCAAAATATTCATAGACATAAAATAAAAAGTCTATTAAAAGTGAACAACACCTCTAATCCCAGCACTCAGGAGGCAGTGGTAGGTGGATCTCTTGAGTTTGAGGCCAGCCTGGTCTACATAGTGAGTTCCAGGACAGCTGGGGCTACAGGGGGATCCTGTCTCAAAAAATAAATAAAATAAAAATAAAAGTGGACAACACCTGAGGAATGATTCCTGAGGTTTTCCTCTGGCCTCCACATGCATGAATGCACCTACGTATATACACCTGTACACACACAAATTTTAGTTTCAGGAAAATTGATCTGTTAGAACTAATAGTATTCCATAGGAGTATAACTTCAGAGATGATAATTTGTTGTTATACAAGTAACTTTGTACAGCCAGTAGCATGTTTTCATTTGTCTGATAATACTCAAGAGACCCTATCTTCCTAACAGTGTTGTGGAATGTCTATGGCGACTGTGATAATTATGCTACATTGAAGGGACACAGTGGAGCAGTGATGGAACTGCATTATAATACAGATGGCAGGTAAGTGCTCTGCATACTGAAATGGCAACTGCTCATACTAATTCTGCTTAGCATCCTTTACCTTTGGCCTTGAGCCTCCTCTTGGGAGACCATCTCAAAAGCTGTGGAATTTTGGCCAGGTGTAGTAAGGATAATCTGGTAATTTTGGCACTGGGAAAGCTGAGGCTGGAGAATCACAAGTTTAAGGCCCACATGAGCTATGTAGTGTAGTCACCATGTATAGTTAGAAACTCATTGTCACTGTCTCCTCTATGCCAGTACTCCAGAAAGATTTGTTTTCTGTGATAAGACATAAAGCAAAATTAAGTTTTATATATAGAAATTAGCTATTTTTAATATGAAGGTAATAAACTATATTATATGTTGAGAAACTAAAAGAAGCAAATAGATGAAAGAATAGTTCATGTTCTTACCTCCCCAAAAATACCATTTAGAGTCTGCCCTCGTGGCACACCCAGCCCCTGGGAGGCAGAGAGAGGCATCTGAGTTGAAGTCCAGCCTCTGCCTCCTGAGTGCTGGGATTAAAGGTATAAGCCACCATGCTCAGTCACATCCAGCTTTTTACATGGGTACTGAAGCTTTGAACTCAAGTCCTCATGCTTGCACAGCAAGTGCTCTTGCCAGCTGAGCTATATCCCCAGCCTCATTTTTTTCATTGTGAAACAAGATCTTTTTAAGTTGCTCATGCTGGCCTAGAACTTGAGGTCCTTCTGCCTTGGCTCTAGAATGACTAAGATTACAGGTATGTGACACTGCACCTGGTGTGTTTTTCATTTCTGACCTCTTAAAGTCTTAACAGTGCTCCATTAACACTTCCTTAGTATTATATACTTTTCAAATAGAGCATTATAGTGGGCATGGTTACATGCACCTATAATCCCAGCACTTGAAAGACAGGAGCATTTTGAATTCAAGACCATCCTGGGCTACATATAGTAAGACCTTATGTTAAAGAACAAAGAAAGCAATTACAACTTAGAAATCATTCTCGGGGCTTGGTTAAGAACACTGGCTGTTCTTGCAGAAGACCTGGTTTTGAATCCCAGCATCCACATGGCAGCTAACAACTGTCTGTAACTCCAGTTCCGGGGGATCCAACAGCCTCTTCTATCCTCCACGGGCATTCATGACATGGGTGCACTTACCTACATGCAGACAATACATGCATACACATAAAATAAAAATAATAAATATTTTTTAAAAGGAATCATTCTCAAACAAAACCTTTTTTTTTTAGACAAAAGATTGGGATTATTCAGCTCTTAGGTCTAGCATTTGCTTGGTCTACCTCACCTCCACCATAATGGGAAGCAAGAGTATATTATATATGCTTGTATCTCAAAGGTGAAAAAGATTGACAGAACTGCTGTAATAACTATATGATGTGGGTCAACCTTAGGAGTCTAGAACAAAGGGATTTTCAAAGGTGGGTAAAGAATTGCAGTATCATGTGCTAAACACACAGAACACAGTAGATACTTTGAAGGAATCGGCACATTTTGGTAAATGAGAAGTGGATTGCTGCTCTTTGTCTTTACTTACCTCTTTCGTGCACCTTCTCTTCTCTTCTAGTATGCTCTTCTCAGCATCCACAGATAAAACTGTGGCAGTGTGGGACAGTGAAACAGGTGAGAGGGTTAAAAGGCTGAAGGGGCATACTTCCTTCGTGAATTCCTGTTACCCAGCCAGGAGGGGCCCCCAGCTTGTCTGCACTGGCAGTGACGATGGTACTGTTAAGGTGGGTATCATCTTGTCTGTGTAGCAGTTTGAATGGCTTAATGTAAATCTTCTTGTCTTAACTACCAATATTCTGCCCTTCTACACACAACTTAGCTTTAGTGCTCATTTTCCAAAACACATTTAAAATTTTTCTCTGTTTTAACGTAATACCCTATGGAATTCTATTGGAACTATAGGTTAAATTGCTAATTAGAATAAATGTACCATGTGAATTTGATTCTGGGCTCAGCTGTTAATTTTGTGACATTGAGCAATTCACTCTCTAAGCTTCAGTTTCTTAATCTTTAGAACTGTAATAGTAATATAAATGTCTTACAAGGTTATTGTGAAATTACAGATATCTAAAAAGCTCAGTAGTCTCAATAGCCCAGGATGGGAATTTAAAGATCATTTAGTTCAATGATCTGTGTATTAGAATTACTTGAAGAACCTGCTAAAAATACCCAGAGTACAGCCTGAACTATATGGTGATACTTGTCTCAAAGGTCCAAATAGGCTGTGCAAAGTGGCACATACCTTTAAATCCCAGTATTTGGGAGGCAAAGGCAGGTGAATCTCTTGGGTTCCAGGTCAGCCTGGTCTACATAGTAAGTTCCAGGCCAACTAGGGCTATATAGTGAGACTTTTTCTCCCCCCAAAAAGCAAAGATAACAAAAGTACCCAAAGTGATGATTGTAGTCCATGTCCTCATGCCTGTCATCCCAGATCCCAACCCTTGGAAGGTTGAGACCTGTGAATGCTTAGTTCAAGGTCAGCCTGAGAATCTAATAAGACCCCATTTCAAGATAAATAAATACTGCTCAGATTCTGGTTCAGTGAGTCTGGAATGATCTTTAGAACTTTTTCTTTTTTCTTTTTCTTATCTTTTTTTTGAGACAGGGTCTCCCCATAGCCCCAGCTGTCTTGGAACTCACTATGTGGACCATACTGGCCTTGAACTCACAGATTAGTGTCAACTTGACACACCTGGGTTGAGGGAGCCTCAATCAGGGAATTGCCTCTATTGGACTGGCCTGTGGCCATGTCTGAAGGGCATCTTCTTCATGAGTGATGTGGGAGGGCCCAGCCCACTGTGAGTGGTGCCACCCCTGGGCAGGTGGGCCTGTATTACATAAGAAAGCAGGCTGAGCAGGGGCCAAGGGAGCAAGCCTGTAAGCAGCCATGGCCTGTGCTCCAGCTCCTGCCTCCAGGTTCCTGCCCTGAGTTCCTACCCTGGGCTCCCTGATGAACTGCGGGCGACCTGGGAGATGTAAGACAAATAAACCCTTTCCTCCCCAATTTGGTATTGGTCAGAGTATTTTGTCACAGCAATGAAGAACAAACTAGGACACTCTGCCTCCCGAGTGCTGGGATTAAAGGTGTACACCACCACACCCGGCCGATCTTTAGAACTTTTAACTGTTCTTCCATGTCTGACCTTTTAGAAGCCATTGACCTCATCCAGCATCTTCATTTTACAAATAAATAAGGCTTAGAAATGAGAAAAGAAAAGTTATCTCAACAGCATACTTCATGAGTTTCATTATGACACTTTCATACATACTTATTCATTATTCCTTGTTCATAGCCCCACTACACACATTATTTTACTATGTTTACCATCTTCTTGCTTTTTAACTTTTATCTTGTTGTTACTTTTGAGACAGAATGTCAATAAATTGCCCAGGTTGGCTCTGAACTCAGTCCCCCTCTATCTCAAATCTACAGCCTTCAAAGCCACCAAACCCTTGTTTACATTTTCTTTGTTTTACTGGTTCTGGGTATAGAACCTGGGACCTCATAAATGCTAGGAAAGTACTTCACCACTAGGTTAAACACTCAGCCTTTTTAAAATGAAATTTAAAAAATAAATAGGGGCTGGAGAGATGGCTCAGCACTTAAGAACACTGACTGCTCTTGCAGAAGATCTGGGTTCCAATCCCAGCACCCACATGACAGCTAACAACTATCCATAACTCCAGTTCCAGGGGCTCCAACAGCCTCTTTTGTGCACGACACGGGTGCACTTACCTACATGCAGGCAATGCACTCATATACATAAAATAAAAATAAGTAAAATATTAATAAATAAATAAATAAATGGTGATTTATTGGCATTGTTAGATTATCTACCTTGACCTGTTCCTCTCTGGATGATACTCTATGCCTAATCACTTGGTGCCTCCTTGATGCTTGGAGAAGAGGAAAGGCTGTGGCTTGTGACTAGTTTGTAAGTCTGGAACTACAGCCTACCTATACTGAATT